TTTTTTTTTTTGGTTTTTCAAGACAGGCTTTTTCTGTGGCTTTGGAGGCTGTACTGGAACTAGGTTTTGTAGACCAAGCTGGTCTTGAACTCACAGAGATATGCCAGTCTCTGCCTTCCAAGTGCTGGGATTAAAAGAGTGCACCACAACCACCAGGCTCAAATGTTCATCTTATTCCTTATAGAATTCCAAATATAAAAACCTCAAGTGACAGTTCATGTTGTCATGGATGTGGAGTAAGGGAAATACTTAATTGCTGGTGAGAGGGCAATGTTTTTCAGCCACTACAGAAATCAATATGGCTATTCCTCAGAAAATTGGGAATCAGTCCATCTCAAGATCCACCTAAATCTTTTGGTCATATACCCAAAGGATGCTCCATCCTACATAAGGACACTTCATAGCAGCTTTATTCATAATACCTGGAAACTGGAAATGACCCAGATGTCCCTCAACTGAAGAATGTGTTATATTCACATAATGAAGTATTAACCAGCTGATAGAAAAAAACTGACAACCGGAAATTTGCAGGATAATATATGGAACTAGAAACCATCCCAAGGGAGGTAACTGTGACCTAGAAAGACAAACAAGATATGTATTCACTTATAACTGGATTTAGCTATTAAGGAATGTATAATCACTCTTCAATCCTCAGACCTAGAGAGGCTGGACAATAATAAAGGCTTTTTTAGAGACCCATTGTTCTATTTGGGAAGGGGAAATAGAATAGATCCTGCGGGTGAATTGGGAAGGTGAAAGGATGGACATGGGAACAGGAGGGATCATGTGGAACAGCAAGGGACAGAGAGAGATAGTACAAAGACAGACTACTGGAATATAGGTGCATTTATGGTGCATGTGTAAACTTAGTGCAGTGGAATCTTCTTGGAACCTATGACAGTGACCCTAGGGACTATTCATGTGGTGGCAACACAGCCATGAAAACTTTCATCCACAGTTTTTCTATAACAATACCCAGCCAAATTCTTGTCTAAGTTGGGGTCCAAGTTAGGAGAGGAATCACATGTCTGACACTGCCTGAATGGCAAGGAAAATAAAACTGGATGGCATAGAGACCTAGGGTAGAATCAACAGTGAGGCTTTCTCTGGCAGCTGATGTGAGGAGCTCCAGAGACCCACCCCCAAACATAGGCTGATCTGAGGAACTCTAAGGAAGTAGGGATGAAGATTACAATAACCAAGATGGTCAGGAAACAAGAATAGAGTTCACATAATCAATAAACAGGGCTTATGGGGGTTTGCAGAGACTGATGCAACAATCATGGGGCCTGCATAAGGTTTCATTAGGTAATTGGCATCCATGCTGTGGTTATTTAGGACAGTTTTGTGGGGGGAATTCTAAATGTGAGATAAGAGGTGTCTCTGACTTTTTGACCACACTTGGGAACTTTTCCCTTCTCCTGGGTTGCCTTATCCAGTCTTGATAGGAGGGCTTGTTTCTAATCATGTTGCATCTTGTTATGCTATTCTCTGTTCTCATCTCTGGGAGGCCTCCTCTTTTATTAAGGAAAATTTAGAATCGTTGGATCCAGAGGAGAAGGTGGCTTGGGTTTTCTAGGAGGAGTGAATGGAGGGAAGGCTGTGTTTGTGATGCATTGTATGAGAGAAAAAAAAAGAATATGAGGACTAAGTGGCATGAAATCTAAAATACGTTTGCTATATTATGGCATCTACAAAATGTCTTCATGATTTTATTTCTGCAGGTTACTTGAATTTTGGTTTTAGGTATACATGTTTTCAGTGTGGCTCTTCTAGTAACCACAAATATCTTTCCAATCACTCCATTCCTTGTTGCTCCAAAATGCACTAGAATTTCTTCCTGCAATTCTACCATTAGTGGGAGGCATAACTCTTTTCTTTTTAATTAGAGGGATTGCAACTCGGCATCTCATTTTTTGTGAGGACTTCAAGTGATCAAGCCTTTTAATTTTTCCTTTTTTCTTTTCAAATAATTATACCCTCATAGGAAACTGTCACGAACTTATAGATAGGACTTATTTACCTTATACACTGCCTTCTCTTGGGATGATATTTTCTACAAGGATGTAAATGAGGAAATTGGAAGAATTTTCTTGTTAGTAATGAACTCATTTGCACTGGTTTATGAGGATGTCATGTGTGCATGTGGGGTCTCTCTAGGCATAATTGTCACATTGTCTGTTGTCTGAACCATAATCTTGGGTTTATCTGCACTCTTACTACAAAACTGCCAGTTTATACCCTTTAAAGTCATAAAATCCCTACACTCATTGCAAGCACTATAGAAAAGACTATGCAATGCATACAATTTCACATTGACTTAGTTTACTTGAGATTCTTCCAAGTTGTATGTATAAATAATTATCTTATACTTGGTTGAAAGTAGAAACCATGGTATCAAAAAGTCCAGTTTATCTGTTTAGCAGATGAAGAACATTTAAGCAGTTACTCAAATTCAGCTACTTCTGGAAGACTTTTATGTATATAATTAACATCCTGTCCATAGTTTCTCCTCCCCATTCTCCTCTCAGTTCTCCTCCCTGTCCCCACCCTCCCAATCTACTCTTCCTCCATTTGTGTTAAGACTGGGCAAGGCAATTCAGTATGCGTAGTAGGATCCCAAAAACCAATAGAAGGGTCAGAGTCAGTCCCTGCTCCCAATGTTAGGAATCCCACAAAGCTACACAATTGTAACATATGTATATTGTGCCTAGATTAGTCCCATGTAGGATCCCTGGTGTCAGTTAAATCTCTGTTATCCACTGTGAGCCAGTTTAGTTGATTCTGTGGGTTATCTTGTGGTGCTCCTTACCCTTCTGTATCCTAAAATCCTCTCCTAGAGGATTCCACAAGCTCTGCCTAATGTTTGCTGTGAGTCTGCATCTGTTTTCATCAGGTGCTTGATGAAGCCTTTCTGATGACAATTGGGTTAAGCAACAATCTAGAATATAGCAGGATATCGTTAGGCATCATTACACTGACATTTTTTCTCCAGTATTTTTTTGTTCTATCTTATGTCTCTGTATCATTCTGTCTGTTTTGATTTTCTGGTGCTCCAGGATATGTTAGTGTTGGACTTACTCTCCTGGCT